AAATTAGTCAAATGTTAATAAACTATATAATCACACAAACTAGACAATGGGACGAAACAGAATAACCTTGTGGTGTCCCAATCATGTCCCGTTTTAGATTGATACAAGACTGGTATATGATAAAAATTGGATTCTAATTGGGAAGAGGCAACACGAAACGATTCCTAGATAATTCAAAATGAGACAACGTGAACGGGGTTCGTGTGGCTCATCCAACCCTAGTTACAAGTAACTAAAACTAATTATTCAAGTTTCTTAAGAGATTTTAATGGCTATTTGTGAATAAAAATTTAATAAGATTTAGAATATACAAATAGTTCCGATAAGGAAAAAGTGAAGACTTTGACATTCTTAAATTGTCCACGGTTTTTTTTGTTAAATCTCTTCAAATTTTAACAACTGTTCAAAGTTTTTTTGAGGAACTTTTTAAAGTTTTAGTATATAAAATTGGTAGTAAAGGTAAAAAAAGATTGTTAAAGACAATATTGATGCCTTTTTAGAATAAGTGATAGATTGAAAATAGTAAAAGGATAGGTCTATCGTTTTCCCGCAAGCATATGATATTAAAGTCAGGAAAGACTAAGAAGAAAAGGTATAAATTACGGTAATACCCATAAGAAACTGACTCTCTATGAAAATAAATAAAAGCACTGCTTTTTGGGAGATTAAAAACATACTTAAATCATTTTTTTGTTAGATTTGTAAAATGGCATCTAAACTTATTAAATACATAAAGAGTCTTTTTTGTAACACTGAATTTGACTGATCTGGTTTACTGTGCTGAAATTAATTATGTTATATCTGAAGTGGTTGAATTGACTGATTATGTTGAATTATGAAAAATTATATTTGAACTATATTTTATTAATAAAATGAAGAAAAAATTGTTGGGGAAAACAATGTTTTTCTTTTTTACGAAAAATAAGAAATTAAAAATAGCCAAAAGAATTGGACAAAGAACTGACACAGGTACAGTCAAAGCATGTGCAACGCATACTGTCCTTAAAACCAATTCATTGTCTCTCACTGTGTTAGGAGCGTTGCGGTGTCAGTTTCCCAGTATACGACGACTAATGAACAACCGTATTGAGCACTCAATAGGTTGCTCCAGCGAACTGAAAAAAATGGTAGAACTGGAGAAGTTTTGTCGGAAGTTTGGCAGAGTTTTTCTTTTGAGAAGACTATGCAGCGAGTATTTTTTTGTGCTCAGTGGTACTCAAGTTGTGTGTTCTCGATTCTTGAATCCAAAATCTGCTGCCAAGCTTTTATATAGGGAAGGAGGAGCCTTTGTATTAATTATGCATTCAACACCACATTTATTGTGTGAAACCGCCCATTAAACACACATTTATTGTGTTCTAATGGTCTTGAACATTTCAGATCATTAACCATGATATTAAACCATGTTTTTAATTACATTTTACAGTTTCTAAATGTTACGCAACGTTTGAAACTCTACCAGTTCGAAGGAGAGATTAGAACAACCATTAATCGACAGTAGTTCTACGCTTAGTTCTACCTTCACAAATTTTCCAATTTCTCCATCTCAACAAGTGAACTTCGAAAATCAATTTATCATTCACTCATTATCCATTTTAGGTTTACCACATATCAAATTGAACCTCTTATAAAGGAGAATTTGAAATCGCTTTGACCCGACCCAAGTCGGACGTGGATGCCACTCAAAATACTGCCCGGAAATAGCCATTTAATGCAATTTTTAATACAATGTTTCCAACAAAAATCACATGAAAAATAGTTAACATGATCTTGTACAATAACTTCAACCAATTCAGACTGAAAAGTAATTTCAACCTTATTTATTTTAATTATTACACTAACTACAACAATAACAACAACTTCCAAGCCTTACTCCCAAAAGATATTGGGGGTGGACTAACATGAATCGGTACATGATATCACCATCAAGCTATTATAAAAAAGATAATATTAAAAAAAGATGAATATACTTAAAAATGATAAAATAAAAAGGATAAAAATAATGTTTATATATATAAGGATAAAAGGATTAAAAACAAGAAAAAAAATGAGGGGAAAAGATGTTACGAGATCACTCCTCCACACAAATACCCGCCCTCCACTTTGCTCTCTCCAAAGTCATACCCTCATCCAACCCAAGAAGAAGCATATCATTTCGAACTCCCCTAACTCACGTCTGTTTGGGCCTTCCTCTCCCTCTCTTCGCTGCCTCTTCTCCACACAACTCAACTCGCCTAACAGGTGCATCAACCGGTCTTCTACGCACATGACCAAACCACCGAAGGCGCGACTCCTGCATCTTGTCTTCAATAGGTGCTACTCCCACCCTTTGTCTGATTGTCTCATTCCTCACGTGGTCCTTCCTAGTATGCCCACACATCCAACGCATCATGCCCATCTATGTCACACTCATCTTTTGAATGTGACATTGTTTCACCGTCCAACACTCTACGCCATACAGTAATGCAGGTCTAATTGCTTCCTATAAAATTTACCCTTCAGTATAGTTGGCATACCTCGATCGCATAGAAATCGGACACACTCTTCCACTTCATCCACCCTGTTTTGATCTATGGGATACATCTTCATCTAACTCATCGTCCTTCTGAATTATGGAGCCCAAGTAACAGAACATATCGTTGACCGATATCTCCTTACCATCTAGAGTAATTCAGCTATTACTGCTGCTTCTACCTCCACCAAACTTGCACTCCATGTTCTCTGTCTTGCCCCGACTTAGTCTGAAACTCATGTTCTCCAATGTTTGTCGCCATACTTCCTTCCAACTTTGCTTTAAGACTTGATTGCGTCTTATCAATCAATACAATATCATCGTCAGACATCATGCATCACGGTATATCGTCTTGAATTGACTTCGTAAGTTCATCCATGACTATGACAAATAAGAAAGGGCTCAGAGCCGGTCCTTGGTGCACTCCGATAGTAATAGGGAACTCTGCAATCCTCCCTACACTAGTACAAACACTTGCAGTACAATCCTCATACGTATCCATGATGATGTTGATGATATACTCGTGTGATATGCTTTTCTAGTTAAGGTCCACCTAAGAACTTCTCGAGGAACCCTATCATATGCCTTTTCTAAGTCAATGAACACCAAATGCAATCCTTGTAAGCGTCTCTATACTTCTCCATATAAGTTGTCGAAGAAGGTGAATGGTCTCAGTTATTGAGCGACCAGATATAAAACCGAATTGATTCTTTGAATAAATTACATTTTTCGTGAAAAAGTTGTTTGATAAACCGAAAACAGAGCTCAAGCTAACACTAACAAGTCATTGCAATCATGATTGAATCACCACATTCAGCATCGTCGAACAGTTAACTGAGGTTTATGAAGTGAATTTTAATCACACATTGACAGTTAGTGAGTGTGGCTCTGAATCTATGGGCCAAATGTTTGCAAAAGCCTTATGCAATTTTACGTAGTAATCTTATATCACTTGCCAAAATTCGAATCCGAGATTTACCCTTGTGGCACCTCTATCTATACGCTGAGCTACACTCACGGCGTAATTTATCAAGAAAAGAAACATAGGACGAGAACTCTTCCAAGTAGTTAAAGATGTTCCTCTAATATTTCTACATCAGAGGTTTGCCTGCCTGCCTGGTCGGTCCCAATTCACAACTTCTTTCGTCTGCCATCTCTACTATTTTGATAGCAAACGAAAGTGAGCTTTACTCCGAATCATTCATCATTGTCACCTCAATTTAGAATAATAAATAATTCCTAATTTAGTAAGGCTTCATTTCACTGGTAATTGTTAAATTAAGCTGACATGATTATTTATTCATTTTATTCAACAATTGATGATTTCATTTATAAATGATTACACAGCAACCCGCTTTCAAACCCCCATTATCTTATCTCATATCTTTCCTAATCTCCATATTTGAAATGTGTGGTGTTTGTTAGTGCAGAGAAGTACAAGCCTTATCTCATCACGTTTTCTTCATTTTCAGGCTAAATAATTGGAAGAAGTTTGTAAACGGTCAATTTGGAAATTTTCGTAAATTGAATGAAATGAGAAAAAGGACAGATTCGTTTGGGAAAAGGCCACAAGTTTACAAATGGGAAAAAGTCAAATTGCTTTTCAGTGACACATCGCTGTCTCCATTTGTGTTCCTCTTCCTACTCATTTCAGTTTTCTACCAATAGAAAAGCTTTCACACAACCCACTAATTTGAAACTCGTTCAACTATCCCAAGTCCACTCCACTAAAATTGGGACAGAAAGATGTGGTGCGATTGTTAATAAAAGTGGGTCTTAGGATTGATATTGAATTGATAAACTAAGAATGATTTAAAACTACACAAACTTTATTAAAATTGTTATGGGACAACCTTAGTGGCACAGATCGAAAAGAAAGATGAGACAATCTTAACGGAACGAGTGAAACACATAATATCTCACATATTTGAAAAAACTTTCTTAAACACAACATTCAAAGCTTGGTTGTTTGTATATCCCCTTCGTTTGAAATCAAAATTTTAAGCCCTTTCCTGCTCATGATTCTTAAAGTAACACAAAGTTGTGTGTGATTTAAAACAGGTTTTCTCAGTAACAAACCAACATGAGAAGTTATTTATACATTATAGAGAAATTGTTATTTAATAAAAATTGGTGGTTTTTTAAGTAAAAATGATTTTAAATTGTACTCCCTTCATCAGTTCATCCCTAAAAACTTTACCAACTTTCATTTTTTTTGGATGTGTTACTAACTTTGTCACTTTCCTTTTTAAGTAAATAATTTGTGGTTCTAGTCAATTCTTCTCACCTGCACAAATCTCAACCACACGATGTCACGGTTTTTACTTTATTAATTTTTTTCTCAAATTCACATGTCAAATTAAGTTATTAAACGTGTCTATTCCAAGCTGTAGGAGTTGTACTCCTATTTCTTTCTTATAATTCCAAGCTGTAGGAGTTGTACTCCTATTTCTTTCTTATAATTACTCACGTTTGTCATAATCATCAGGTAGATAAATACAAGTCACTAGATAAATAAGCAAAGATGCGGGAGAGCAGGCGAATCGACTCGCGAATTCAAGCCATCATAAGTGCGTAACCAGTTTCCTTACTCCTCAGCGCCTTCAAAAGATTCCAGCGCTTCAAACTCCGGTGATCGTGTCATTTCTACGGTGACCGGAGGATATTGCCTTCTTTGTTCCCTGTCCTTGATGTTCCTGTGAACAAAGGGAATCTGAGTAATCATAGAATCGCATTGAGAGAGACAGGCAGAAGCGACGATGAACGGGAGCGGATATAGCAGCAGTGAAAGAGAGTTCATAAGGAAACACCACACTCAAGAGCCGGCAGAGAATCAATGCAGTTCAGTTCAGATCAAGCACATTAGGGCGCCTCCTCCTCTGGTTGGTTCCCTTATCTTAAATCTTGATATGCGGCCATCCACGTCTTCTATATTTTTCCGTATTAATAAATTGGTGCTCTTGAAATTGACACTTAAGGCTGGATGGAAACTTGTTTAATCTTTATTGACATTGACTTACAAGCGAAGAATTGTTATTGCAGTTTAAGGACCTTCGTTTGGTTCTGATCTTTCCTTTTGATTAGATCCCTTTTTTAGTCTGAGATACAGAGACGTCGTTGCTAACGATTCATATAACTGAAGCCTGATGTAATAGTGTTTGATTAAACTATTTGGCTTATTTCCTCACGATCGCCAAGATTTTGGATGGCTGAGGCAGAAGGGTAGAAGATTTAGGATTTAGGAACTAAAGTTGGGACTTGGGAGTTTGTTCCTTTACACATTTTTCTCGACTAATGACTTCTAAAAGAATTGAAGTCTTTGAGCCGGTTTCATCCCTTTGTGCTGTCTTGATAACTTCTTGGAAATAAGGAATGTAAATATATTATGCCTATTCTTGCAGTTTTTAAAGATTCTTAGAGTTCTCAGTAAAAAAAGATTCGTAGAGTTCTAAGTTGGCATGCTTTTATAACAGGTCTGGTCATTGGTTAGAAGGTTTGATCAACCACAGAGATACAAACCTTTTATCAGCAGGTGCTCAGCACAGGAGAATCTTGAGATTGGAAGTCTTAGAGAAGTCGATGTCAAGTCAGGCCTTCCTGCTACGACAAGCACAGAACGGTTGGAACTTCTGGATGAGGATGAGCATATCCTCAGTGTGAGGATTGTTGGGGGAGATCACAGGCTTAGGGTATGCATGCAACTTGTTCTGTTATACTATCTACTCTCCTTGCACAATTTATTTTCTGCTGGGGATGCATTTTAACAATTATTTGGAGTTTTAAACCTATTACCCTTATAATCAATGTTCTCACAAAATCACTGTTATAGTGGGTGAAGTGTTAATCGGTTAATCCATATTCCCATTTAAGATACCCATAGTAAGGTGACAAATAGTTGGATTGGACAAATTTTAATTTGGATACTGGACAAGTTTTCAGGAAAATTTTACTTCCATCTTTGGATTCATTTTTATTAATGTTTTAGCAACTTCAAATCCTTTCAGTAAAATCTGTTCTGCTGCTTCCATACAATGAGTCAATCTGTCAATGACACAAGGTATATAGAACTACCGGAATCAGTGTTTGTGGTGGCATAGTCATTTATATGACTTGATTGATGTTATTTGTAATTCTGTATGGAATATCGCTTTTTCATCTTATGGGTTTGAAAACTTGAAACTTAAAACACCTAATTAAGTCATGATTCGATGCAAATACTGTTTCCAATTTTACTTTTTCAATTGAATACGAAAAGTAAAGGGTAGAAAACTTCAACTATCGCATTTTCCGCCAAACGAAAAACATTGTTGCATTTTTTTGAAAGAAACATTGTTGCATTTTGATAAATAAACTTACAAATTTTCATTGCTTTCTAACTTAATTTGATTGAGGGTCGCGAACTAAATATGCATTGCCATGAAAGTTCACAAAAATGATACCACCTAAATCTAGCCATCCTATCAAAATTCATTAATGGTCCAGATATGGGTCTAGCTTATACCAAACTTTATGACTCACCAGATCTGATTTTATGAAACTGGATATATGATTTTCACCCCTTCTTGATCCAAGGTATAAAAGTGATCTTGAATTTTGACAACATTGTATGCACCTCATAGAGCTGGTGGGTAATAGTGGCATCCCAACTAAATTTTTTATTTTTTCTATTAATCATTTATTTATCTTTCTGTGGTGAATTTATATCATCTTTTATTTTTAGAACTACTCGTCTGTTGTATCCGTGCATCCAGAAGTGATCGATGCAAGACCTGGAACACTTGTTATTGAATCATTTGTGGTAGATGTGCCTGAAGGGAACACTAAAGATGAGACCTGCTACTTTGTTGAAGCACTGCTAAAATGCAATCTGAAATCTCTCGCTGAAGTTTCTGAGAGGCTTGCTCTGCAAGGAGAGCATACAGAGCCTATTGATCACATTTAATGATCTGCCGGATCGACTTGGTTGAGACTATTTACACATTTGATGAAATGAAGTTTTCCTTGAGGCTTTGTAATCATCACACGGTACTATGTCTCATAGTTGTTTGAAAACCACAGCTTTTGTAATGGTATTATCACACGTCGGAGTTTACCAGAGAAGAAGAGATGTGTCTATTTGCAATTTGATGATGCGATACTCTTTGTCATGCTTTGTTGTAGTTTTATAGGCGCCTTAAGTTTGTACTTGTTAGTTTGTAATAACAAACTATAATAGATATGATTGATTCATCTCATTATTTCATCATTTGTTTATGTATGAACTAGTATCTTTATCCGTGCCGTGCACGGGAAAAAATGATTTTAATGTTTAATTTTACTAATATGTGTGTGCATTGACATATGCATGATTTATTATAACTAATAGGAATACACTTATTTAATCGATTAGAACATTATTTTGGTCGATAATTTATATTCTATGTATTGAGTATGTCTTATTTTTGAATTAATTATCTAAGCATACTTTCAGGTTATATATTTCAATTGAAACAAAAAAAATTTAACTCTCACTTGCATCCAAATGAAATTAGTCTTTTTAATCATCTATACCCAAATAATAAAGAATTTACTCAAAGTCTATTTTTCACCATTAGATTTTATCCACAGCTTAAAATATTTTTTCAAGACCACTACTCATTTTTGAAATAATGGATGTAGTATTTTTTGAAGATATTAGCCCTTGTAAGATTTAGAATTTAGCAAAATAATTCTCCGATCTCTTTCTTTAAGAAAAGAGTTTAAACTATATAGCTAATAGCTTCGTGACATTCCAATTTTAATGAAGCCGATGGCGGTGACAACAGGCTGCATAACGCGATTGGTAGTTGTTGGGTTAATGGCCCAATTAGAGGATCGGCCCATTAAGTCCTTCCTCAGACGAACGTCTAAGACCAACAGGCCAACAAGGTCAACATGCAAGGACGAACGTCTATACAGAATAGGGGTGATTACTAGGGGTGGACTCGGGCCAGGAGGCCCGACCCGGAACCGGCACGGCCCGACACTGTTCCGGCCCAGCCCGGTGGCTAGGTCCGAGTAGGCCCGACCCGCTGGGGGTCCGGTCCGGGCTTGGGCCCCCCAAATCAGGAACCGGCCCGCCCGGTTCGGGCCCGGTTCCGGGCCTTTTTAATTTTTTTTTCAATTTGTTTTACTTTTTGGGTTGGGCTGGGTATTTTGGGCCATTTGGGGTGGTTTGGGGGGTGAGGGGGAGGGTTGGGGGTTAACTAGGAAAAGAGAAAAAAAAATAACAACTAACGCCCGAGGCCCGGCCTGACCCGACCCGGAACCGGGGATTACCCGGGCCGGTTCCAGGCCCCCCATTCCTGAACTGGAGGCCCGACCCGGGCCCGAACCGCCTCGAGTCCACCCATAGTGATTACGTCTCAAGATCCAAGGCTGTGGAGACGCACGTCACCACCCTTAGCCCACGGCTCAGAGGAGGTCCAGTCCAAGAACTAATCAACATATTCTACACAAGGGCCAGACGACGCGCGGCCCACAACCCTTTGTGGCATTATCAGGAGCAGGCCCCCAGTTCCAAGGGGATGCACGTCCCTGCAATTGGGCGGGAAACCGAGCTTCTGACGAGAGGCGCATTTAATGCTAGAGATTTGGTGGTTGAGGCTTCAGTCATTCACAGCTCTCCACGTCAGCAACCAAATGCCTCTTTGTTAGTATAAATAGTAGCATTTATTTCATTGTAAAGGGTGGACAACTTATCTGCCTTAGCATTCTAGCTCAGTATCAGCTCATGGCTTATATTTCGCAGCTCTTCTACACGAGTGTAAGACGAACGGCCTCCGGCCTTAACATAGTGCCGTGTAACGGGGAGTTATTAGGTTCTAATAATGCTCGGCTCACTATTCGCATACACTCTAGCTTAGCCCATCTTACTTGCTTGCTTCTCATTTCCACACACCAATCCATTCGAAATCCTTGGGCTTACGTGTTGGACCTGAAGGTCAAAGGAATAAAGCTCAACAATAGTGATCGATTTATTTTTCATTAGATTGGGTTATTGATAGTATTATGATCTTATTAAGTAAAATAAGTGTTATTGAATGAAAAAATATTAATTGGTTTAGACTTTTAGTGGGCAGTTTTTACATAGAATGTCAAATGAATTAAATCTATAAAACATTTGTCACATCAAGTGACAACTAATAATCAAAAGCTAAACATATATGTCAAACTATGAAATGAAAAAAAAACAAATGTCTCACATTTAGAAATGAATAATGAGATCAATTTACATGACCAAATAGCACTACATTGAAGTGACACCCATGAATAAAACAATTACCCTTTATCCAGAGTCTACTTTATTTAGCTATCTCTTAAACATTAACACTTTAAGTGTCAGAATATGATTGCTATATACTTTGTATGTAATCAATAAAACTTGCAAGGAGCTAAAAGACTCATCCAAAATATGTCAAGATTATATCAATATATACACTCAAGTGAATAAAAATTTGAAATATCATTAAGACATATGCATATTTAGTGAAATTTAAAATGTGTATAAATTATTTTCAAATTTTGAGAAATGATTCGAAACTTAATAGAAATATCTCTATAAATTTTATTGGAATTATTTGAGAGAGCCTAAAAGATTTTCATTTTCATATATTTCACTTTCATAGTATGTGTACTTATTACATTGAAATAATAAACAAATTTTAAGTTATTTCCCATGCCGTATGATTATATCATCCTCTCATCTCATCTTATACATTATAAAATGTTAATTATTTCATCATTGTTCATGTATAGTATGAATTATTACTTCCGTGTCTTTGTCATGAAATAATAGTTGCAAAACTTGTAGGCATGTTGATTAAGGAAGTGGGATAATAAATTACACTACCCTTTACTTTTTGAATTCAATTGAAATTTTTTAATGGGAATATTGAATTTGTGGATTTAAGTAAAAGAAAATGTGAAATATGGATCGGAGTATGAATTGTGTGTAGGCTTGATGAAAACGGTTAGCAACACAAGAGGGGGGTGAATTGTGTGTGTGTGGAACCGTGGCAGTTTTTCGCCGAGTTCTAGTGTGGGATAAAGGGAATTGCAAAATAGTAAAGTGCACAAGAATTTAACGAGGAAAAATCCCTTGGCTCAAAGGGATTAAAAAACCTCGACCTCCCTCGGAGGAATTTTAAACAACTTCACTAAACAAGCCTTTGAAAGAGTTACAAGAGTGATTCTCCTAATCTACCCTTGAGCCTCCCCAACTCTATCCTCTCTAGGAAGAGTTATGCATCTCTACCTTGCGGGTAGAGAGCCTCTCAGCTTTATCACAAAGCTCTCACACACACTTAACCCGAGGCAGCTACTCTAGCCAATTAAGCCTCAATATTCCAAGTACAATATGAAAGGGAAAAGAAAAACTCTATCTAGAACTCCGAGCGGGCAGTTTCAGGCGCCAAGGACTTGATCCTTTCTTGAATGATTCTTCTAAGTATTTTTCTTTGTTCAGCACACTTTTTCTCTCCAGCTACTTTGATTATATAGGAGACTTCAGAATTAATCCGTTGGAGCCTTTATCTCTCGAAATCAATCTTGATACTTGCCTTGAAATAATTTAAACACCTTCCATCTTGATACTCCGGTCAACCGAGCTCTTATGGTCTTACAAGACAATGAATAATTGGCAAGACAGTAATATATTATCCTTCCATAGTAAGAAAAATGAATCTTCACAGAATACAATACTTGGCATATATGGATTTATTCGAATTGTGTAACTTTACTAAAGTGGCTTTTTCCTTTGATAGCATAATGCTCAAAAGCATGCAACGATCTTCCTCTTTTAAAAGGCAAGCAATGACGGCTTTTCAATGGTAAGCATATAAAAAGTATATGGCTCCTACGACAGCTCACAAAATATTTCAATTACTATATTAAGCAAGAAGACCTTTTTATATATCAAATTCAAATACTTATCAAATCTGAGTTTATTCAAGTCATGTGACATTTCGAAAGTGACTTTCCTTTGATAATACTTTCCTCAAATTATGCCACGTTTATTATTTAGTTGAAAATAATTTCTTTCCTTAAAAGTGGATATATTGATTAAAGTACTTTTTCTTTGTCAATTCATGCAAGCCAATAGTGTCACGTACTTACGCATGCCCATAGATATAAATCACAAATAGCATAAAGTAGTTCTTCCCTTGGTTCTAGTTAGGTTAGTCATCAACAAAACTAATTAATCAACAAATTCCCCCTTTTTGTTGATGACAAACCATGGGTGCCTGCATTGTTAGAAGATAATATGCAACATAAGGAAACATGTAGCATAGAGGATAAGGGCACCTGGTTGTTTCCCCCCTTTTATCATCAACCAAAAGGAAACAGAAACCAACCAAAACAGTGTCCACCAAAACAGTCAAAGTAGCAAAAACATGTCCAAAGTGTTACCCCCCTCCCCAAATCACATCAAGGAGTTTTAAAGACATTTAATCATCCTCATCATCAGAGGCAGGAACTATTCTGCGTAAAACAGTATCAGGGTTATCCAGTTTGGTAAGCACTTCCTTTCTGAACGCTTGGAACTCGCTGCTAAGGGTATCCAATTTTCTTGCTAGAGATGAGATGGAGTCGGAGAGTTGTTCCTTTAGAGTGCTGGCAGCCGAATCCAAGAGTTCCTTAATGAGAGGAACAAGTTGATCAGATGAAGGACCCGAGGTAGGTTTAGGGCAGGATTTGGGAATTTTATGATCAGAGGAGGCAGAAGTTTCCTTAGGAGCCATCTTAACCAGTTTGGAATTTTGGATTTCAATTCCCATGTTTTGAAGCCCTTTGAGATCCATGATTTTGTTAAAGCATTTTGGAGACAGATCTTGTAAGGGGATGTTTTTGTCTTGAAAGAGGAATGTGAACCAGGGCCCATATGGGATACCAACCTTACGAGAATTGGTGCTAATAGTGAACTTGAGATTGCCTAACATCAGACCAGGCAGATTGACAGGGACTTTGTTTGCAAGAAGGTACATGTAGGCTAACTCAACACGGGAGGGAGAAGAGCGACCTTCTAGTCGAGGGACGAGGTTGTGATGAACAAAGTAGAACAATAGTTTGTGAATCGGAGAGAGGGAAGCAACATGCAGAGCTGTGCCAGACAGATTAGGGTCAAAATACTGAAGGGCAGTGGTGAGTTCAACGTCAGTTAAGGGCCACTCGGTTTTGACATAGGGACATGTTCCAGAACTGGGAACCTTAAGCAAAACCCCCAAATCCTCAACATCAAGCAGAATCTTAGTGTCCCTAACTCTAGAAGAC